GAGGTGTTGAGCAAGGCCTGGATGGAGGAGCGCCAGGCAAGCTGGAGCCAGGATGTAGCGTTGAGTGCCATGTGGTCCGGGTTCAGGGATTTTGCACGCGAAATCGTCACCCACATTGGGGGCGAAGTCAAACAGTTGAGGGACAATGTAGGGAAGTTTTGTGAGGGCGCCATTCAGGGTGCCAAAGCTGCAGCCGCTGTAGAAGGAGAGGGCAGACCCCGTAAGGACCCAGTGAAACTCAAGTTCCCAGACGTGTACGGGGGAAAGAAGAATGAGAACTTTGACAACTGGGAGGCCAGTGTCAATAGTTACATTTACTTACAGCATATCCTGATAGAGGAGCAAGTCCCCGTGGCCTTCCAGGCCCTGAAGGATGAAGCGGCTAGCTTCGCCAGGTCTCTCGCGCGTACAGTCGGTTGTGAAAACAACCTGGTTGCATATTCCAAAGTCACTCCTCTTTCCCAATTCCTCAAGCTCCTCAAGGAGCGGTTCGCTGACCCAACGCGAGGCATTAGAGCCTCTGATAAGCTTCAAAAGATCCACTCCCGGCAGTGGAGGAGTGCCAAGGCACTCAAGGGTACCATGGACGACTTGGTAGCCGTCCCGGACCACGGGGTCACTGAGCCCAAGTTGGTCCAGTTGTTTTATCGTGCCATTCCAGAGGCCCTAGGTGGGCATGTCTTTGACAAGTCTCAGCAGGCTTGGCTTGACTTACGATGCATTGAGTAGATAAGTCGTCCTGTATGAGTCGAAGTCTATGCCAGTTACCACTTTCTGGCATAAGGACCTGGAGAAGGGGAAGAAGTGGAAAGATCGTACCATCTCGGGCCAAGTCAAGGCCAAGGATCACTTGATCCTGACATTAGAGGAGGGTGGTACAGAAGATGTCCCATATGATCAGATTGAGTGGGGCCTAGGGGAGGAGTACAGTAGTGTAGGGCAGGGGAGGTCTTTCGCTGCTGTCGCGGCTTGAGGGAGGCCGCAAGGTAGAGGAGGAGGCCAGGGTCAATGGGGCCAGGCCATGGGAGGCCGAGGACCAGGCGCGCAGGGGGTTGGCGGCCAAGGAAACCGCCAAGCGGGAGGTAGG